CTGAAATAAACAATAAAGGCAAAATCCAGAGGTAGGGATGACCACAAACTTGGTACAATAATATCATTGCGAAGTTAAATTACTTTTAATGTTTTTGTTCTGCCATACTCAATATCTGTTCCAACCTAAGGTTGGTTGTACTCATAATTATGTTATGGCTGTGTTGGTTTCAGGCGTCATAGCACATATAACAATATTCAGAGGAGAGGAAGGATCATATCTGCTTGACTTTTTATTTTTAATAAGATATTCTCTACTAGAAGCCTGCTGCAGACTTCCTTATATCTCACTGGTAAGAACCTGGATCTCATTCTCATAGCTTAATCAAATAACTATATACAACCATAATTATCTCAGACTCTGTATGTTGAAGAGAATGGATATTTGGAACCAATAATTATAGAAGCTACAATAACTCAAACTTATTTAGATAAAATGATGAATGGATTTTAAAGTTCAAGCTTTACTGAGTGAGTGATTTATTTTTTCAAGCCCCTGAATAATAAAATTAATATGCACATTTTAAAGAACACCTGTACATTGTTTAGTTAATCACAGAATAAACGTATGACATATTATATATTACATAACATATACTAATTACAAAACACAGTTAAACGGTTGAAAATATTAGACCAGGGACTTCCAGGAAGATGGCAGATATATAACAGCAAGCAACAAATGTCCTCTGAGATAGTCGACTTAGATTCCAAAAATAATACAGCGTGGGGAGTCTCAAACGGAGGGAGTTACACCCTCCCAATCCAGGAACAAATTAAGCTGAGAAAAACCCATTAAAAATACAGTCCCAGTGACATGATCAGAAGAGCTACAGTCTCAGTGCTGCTGCTTGAACTCCCTGCTTAGACTCACTGTCGCTGCTGTGCTTGAACTAGCGCAGTCAGGATAGCCCACCAACTTCAACTCACTGGAGAGGCGTTGACACCCAGGGCAGGAGTTGGCGAACTGAATTGAGAGTAGAGCTCTCAAAGTAGAGCTACTTTGACCTGTGGTGAGTGAGAGGAATAAAAACTTTTCCATAGAGAAGGAGGAGCCCCAACAACAACATTGTGGGACCAGGCAGATAGGCTAAAACAAGGAACAGTGGTGACTTCAGCCGGCTTCTCCCTTCTCAAGTGGGATAGGTGGCGTGCACCCAAGCTGGGTAATGTCATAGACTAAGACCCAATAGTCTAGCCCAAATCAAGTCCCTATGCCTGGCAGTGCAGCCTAATGCAGTGAAGCCTTCAGCAGGTTGACTGACCTGGAGGGGTGGGCCCATCATAGGCTGCCCCAGTCTATGTCTCCCTAGTATAATCCAGTGGGTGAGAACATCTTCCAAGCGTGAATCAAGCAAACTGTAACCAAAAAAGAAAGAAACTGGACCTCCTATATATGCTTGTATGGAAGGAATAAAAATTATGGGAAGAGGGAACAACAAGAAGGGGTCCTCAGTTGCCAGTCCTGAGACCATTTATCCAGGAAAGGTAAATGCAAAGGAGAATTAGGACAGCAAACACGCAATATCAGACAAGGCACCAATAGACATATAACAATATCTTTGGGACCTCATAGATAAGTTCAAAAGTGAAATATTTAACCAAGTAAATCAAAATATAAGTAGAATAGTTAAAGAAATGCTAAGCACCTCCTGAGGAGAAAAAAAAAAAACAGATGGAACAATGGAAGAACAAAAAAGAAAGGGGGAGAATTGTTTGATGGAGAAAATAGAGAAAACATAGAATACATGAAGCAGATTCAAAGAGATTACCAGGATATTAAAAACTACATGGAAATCTGGCAAAACTACTTGAAAGAAACTAAGCATAGACTCTCCCAACTGAGGGCAGGTTTGCAATGTGGGACCATGAAAGGAAAAATTTCTTAAAAATAACAAAGAAACAAGCAGTAATGATACAAAGGCTACAAGATGACAAGACAATTTATAAGTTGAAAATAAAGAATGTGAATGAAGAAGCAGGGGTACAAACAAAGGAACTGCAAAGGGTACTCACAGAAATAATTAAGGAAAATTTCCCAAACATATGAAAAGGAAAAGATACTCAGACATATGAGGCCTACAGAACTCCAGCCACCTACAACCAAAACAGAACTACACCCAGGCATATAATAATCAAGATTCCAGAAATCCAATATAAGAACAGAATATTAAAAAGCTGTCAGAGACAAGAAACATCAAGTACAAGGGAAAGTCCAACAGAATTACGTCAGACTACTCGGCACAAACCATCAAATTGAGAAGAGTGTGTGACAAAATAATCCAAGGCTTGAAAGAAAATAATCACCAGCCAAAATTGATCTATCCTGCACAACTGCCCCTAGAATTTAATGGAGAAATAAGATGCCTCCAAGATAAAGAAGAACTGGAGGAATTTGCAGTCACCAATCCAACTCTACAGAGAATACTACAGGACATTCTAAAGAGAGAGAAAAGCACCAAGATTTCAGGAACAGTGGCAGAGAGGCCCCCAATGAATGGAACAAAAAGCAAAATGAAGAAGACAAACAGACAACTAGTGATGGAAAAAGAACACAACAGAAATGAGGCAGAGAAGGTTGGATATAATTTCTAATATAGATGGCCTAGGTACACTAACTTAAAGGAAAAAAGAGAGAATCAAGACAGAGTGGATCAAGAGGTAGAGTCCACCAAAATGCTCTTTATAGGGAATATAACTAACCTGAAGAAGGATATATGGACCAAAATAAAATAGGAGAAAACAGAACTTGATGTGATAAGGAACCACATAAGAGTGTAATAAGGAACCATACATAAGAGAGTAATAAGGGCAAATAGTCCAGTACTTATGGATAGGTTGAAAAGACAGGCTTTAATAAATGAAGAAATACAGCTAGAGATCAAGTCCAGGAGTGAGAAAGTTCAGAAACACTTAGCAGTTTCCCCCCTTATATAAAACCAAGAGTGTTGGGTAGATCCAAAAATACAAGTACACCCTGGGGGAGTGAAAGGGGAGGAATAGTCTTTAAAAAAAGACAATAGAAGATACTGCTAATAGTGTATCAGGAATTAAAACCCATATTACTCACACCACTCTGCTTGGATGGAACTTGTTCCATCCCAGTTTATATATAAGTCCTGGATCTGAGGGCACAGACAGCTGTCCCGAAGATATCAGGACATAGCACAGTGGTTATATATAATTTGCTATTAACTTAATCTGAATCCTTGTATGACTTATAGTGTTGTATCTTGACTGATCTTAGTTAAATCTGATTTTTGATTGCTGATTATTATTGACAGATTTTACTCAAAACTGATCAGTTGATGGTATCAAGTTGGAGAGTATAGACAACTACACTGAAATGACAATAATTCACTATGATACCCATTCTGATTTGACTACTACCTGTTTTTCTAGCTCTACACTATCTACAAAGATGTATTTCTGTAATGAACTGATATAAGCAATTATACTTTATCTGATAATGTAGCCAATTCTGTAGATCATAACAAGAGATAGCACAGTAACCATGACAGAACTCCTTGTATGGTAGTTTTACATGTCTTTTTACTTTTATGTGTCTATAGGAATATGTTTTGTTCTGTATTGTTCTGTTCTGTTTCTCACTCTAATACAGAAAGATAGAAATACATGTCAAGACTCATGCTTGCGTAAAACCTATGAGCAGTTTATGAGAACTGTTGAAGAGATCTTATGACACATGATGAAATGAACAAACACTTTGAAGGAAAAAAAGAGGCACTGCAGTACCTAGTGCTGATTCTGGAGTGTCATGATGTAAAATCCAGCAATACTATTGAGCTTTGTTCAGAATGATTTTAATCTACTATGTTTTGTTTGGTCTCAACATAAATGAAGGTATGGATAAATGCATACATGTCTAAGTGTATAGGATTGATAGCCATATTACTTAGTTTTTGATGGATAGTTGAACGTAAGTGTTTGCAGTCTCCCTGGTTGAATTCCCATTTATATGCTCCATTTTCTTGGACAATTATTTGTGGTGGGACAATATGGAAACATTAACCTAATGATTTTTTACTGTTTTTTGCTTTGAAAGTATGTACTATTTCTGCCCATTTTCTGTTTTGTTTTGTCTTTCTTTAAATTAAAAAATAGGAAAAGTTAGACCAGAAAACAAAAGTACATATGCTTTAGTACAGTGTGATTTTTATTCATGTTATCAACTTTACAACATATGTAATATACACCACATATGTGGTAATATACACTAATATGTGTATATTAGTATTGAATAAATCCACAATTTTACATTAAAATTTTATTTGAAATTGTTTAATTTAATCTCTCATTATATGAGGAAATCAGAGAAATTATTTTCTTAGGGCCACACTATTAATTGTAACCACAGTAAGGATTAGACCTGTCTCCTTGATTCAAGTTCAAGTTTCTTTTGGAAAATGTGGCACTCTTTTTGCTCAGTGCAAAATATAAAATATATTTATACTCATACTAAATATAAAAAGATTATGAGCTCTAGATCTCTCACACCTTTCTAGAATAGGTTGCCTTTATTATTCACCCTCAGTTTTAGAACAGGTTTGGTATTATATTCTTTAAATACCCATTCATATCTTACATTGAAGAAAATGTTTATCTTTTTCCCTTAGTTCCACTAGCTAGTTCAGAAAAAGAAGTCTTTTCATTAAGTCAGAATATTTTTTAATGTTTTTTTGGTTGTGAGAGTTTAGTTTATATTTTTGTGAGCTAGCTATAGGTGAAATAGTAATTTCTGGTATGAATGAAAGACTATTACTAATTGGCTATATGATTTATATTCAATGAGGTGCAATTTGTCTCATCTGTACATTGAAAAGATAATCATTATGTAGTGTTAGAATTACTAGTGGTGCTTACCTCAGCTAAGAATTCTTCCTTATATCCTTTGCCTTGAATATCACTGTGTATTTTTCACATGTTAAGGCAGGATTATGAAGCACTGGTAAGGATTTTCCCTGTGTTCTTTACCTGCAGCCTCCTGAAATGAGTGAGGGAGAGTAGTATAACATGGAGCTGATGTTTCCTTGTTCAAAGAAACAGAAAAACCAAAGTCACCCACCTCATACTAAAAAGAGGTAAAGTTTTTCCTTGTTTTTGTCTGTTTTCTGAAAACACTGTGAAATGTATAAAAAAAATAGTTGTCTGTATATAGTAGATATGACACGTCTGTTTTTTATATACAAAGTGTATTTCTGTGTAAAACTCGATGAGATAGGGTCAGGATAAACAATGATTTTTTAATAGTAAATTCCAGAATAAATATTTATGTTGTCCTAGTTCCGAGGTCTTTATAATGTTAATATATATTTTGCCTTTTGATTTTGCACAAAATTTCCATGGCATGTTGTTGTAGCAATCCTGGGAATAATATGTTCTTTCCTCCTGCTAGCAATTGTAGGCTTAGGATATATGTGTGAGTATGAGGTATACTATTTCTTATGAAAATAGTGATTGAAAAATGAGATACTATAATTGCTGAATTTCTGGTGAGTCTTATAGTGGTCATTTTGGTAGTTATGATAGAGTTGATCACGATGTGAATAATGATGATGATTTTATTATTTTACTATTATTCAGTTTTTGTGCCACATAAAATTGTGTAGAGCTATTATTACATAAAAATTTCATCGCTAAGTGCAATGCAGTACATATATAAAATAGCTTTTGTACCCAAAGTGATATTTCATATCAATTTTTAACAAATATATTAATATAGTTGCTTTCAGTATCTTTTTTCCTTATGTTAATGATTTTGTTCATTCAGCAATGAATGTTGACTATCTTCTGTGAGTCAGGAAGTATTTATGGCACTAAAGTTACAGAAATTTTAAAAAATCAACTCTCAATGAGATCAGTTAAAAGAGTAAGAGGTTTTTGGTGCAGCATTTTTTAAAACTATATTATCAGTGCTATGATACTAGCAAAAAAACACCAGCCATATTTGATTGAATGGGTGAGAGAAAAATTAGTGATTTCATTTTGGGTCACATTTACACACTTTTGTGGATATAATTATGTAATATGTTATAGTAAAGAAAAGAAGAACACTAGGTATGGTTTGCTTTTATGTGTTGATAATGGTAAAGATTCCGATACTGTGACCTATCAGTAGAGATGTCCAGAGTAGTTTGGAAATGTTTATGTCTCTAGAGTGGACATTTGGAAACAGATACAGAGCATCAGCAGATATATGCCATGACTCAGTATCTAGAGATTCAGAGAGATACTTACATGGAGAGATGAATTGTAGATTTGTCAATAAATAAAGCGTGAAGTTGAAGATTTGATTGAAGAAGACCAGTGTTGCAAAACCATGTAGTAGCATGTTACATTAGAAGGTGTCAGACTGATGATCCTCAGAATAAATAAACATTGCATGATAGCTGGAATATGAGAAAACAGTGAAAAATTGGTATTTGGATTAGATAGCTAGGAGGTAATAAAAATAGTATGAGATCATGAAGAATAGGCTCAAGATAGTCAATAGTTAAGCTGATATAATGGCCAAAAATATGATTATTAAATTGAGCACAGGAGAAAATCACTAACATGATTTGCTAGTGTAGATTCAAAGGAATTGTGATAATGTCAAAACAGATCATAATGACTAAAAATAGTTGGAAGTGTAGGAATTAGATAGTGCACATAAAAATTATTTTGAAAGTTATCACTGAGCAAAAATTTTTCCCAAGGGTTTATAGTCGGTGTATCCACATGATCTCTTATATTTTTCTTATTTTTCTGTGTGTGGTAAATGATGCTTTTTATTTAAAAAAAAAAAGAAGCTAAAACCAAACAAATAAAACAGAACAAAGCCCATGAAAAACAAAACAATGAAAGTGATAGAGAACTTCAAAGCAAGACTATAGGAATCAGCAATGGCCACATAATACCTCTTGTTATCTCCAAAATAACTGTCCAGACCATCAGACATAGGCATGTAAAATTAACCAATCCATACAAGATCTAACTTACTTCTTTATTTCAGTTGTTATCTTTTCAGAAGTTTCAGCGGCGTGACTTCTACGTTCTAATAGAAGAGTAAAGATGCTGTCTGTGTCTCTTGAGCCTGTTCTGTGTGGGCTGGAGGTCTGAGATTCTATTTTGCTCCTTTGTCTTGATGTTTTCCTTTGTTCTTCCAAATCAGCCCATCTTGGGGATTTCTTACATTTGCTGCCAGTCCCTCGGTGTAGGTGACTGGAATAGGCATCTGGGTTCCTCCAATCTAGTGTTCCTGGATTGGTGGAGATGCACCATGGTGGTGGGATTTTGGGGTGTAGTTTCTTCTCTGGGCCCATAGTAGGCTTGCTGGATATCTCCAGGCCACTGGCATGGGGCACGGGGGCATGGCTTCTTCCTATAAAATCCATTTAGTCCTAATAAGCCTAGATTTGATTCAGCTTTGATAAATCTTTGAAGATCTTTTGTCTCTCGGTGACAATAGGGTATGAAGATCTCTTGTTATGATTGTATAACTGCTTATCTGATTTTCCATGTCTACCAATATGCCTTATGTAGTTGGGTGCTCCCATACTAAGCACACATATATTTATGATTATTATGGCATTTGTGATATCTCCAGCTGTCTCATGGCTCACTGACCACAATCAATTTTGTGTTATTCTTCCTTGCTTTGTTTTGTAGTTTTGGGTTGATTTCTCATGGTCTCTTGCTATTCTTAGGATATCTTTTTTTTCATGATTACTAGCTACAATTCTCTTTAAGATCTGAAATTCTATCCTTTCCTTCTTTCAGTCTGTTGCATATAGATTCAATGGAAGTTTTAATCTCCTAGATCTCTTTTTGAAATCCCTTTTATGGAATCTATTTTTCTTCTATATCGGGTATGTTGGGTACTTTTCTTCTATGTTGGGTATTTTTTCTAAACTTAACTGTTGTTTTATTTGTGTCTTCTCTAATATCTTTGATTTTAAGCGTAATTTCTTTTTGTTTCTGAGAGATCACTTTCTCTATATCCTTTTCTATTTGTTTTTTCACTTCTATTATTATCAGTTCATAAAGTTCCAGTGTTTGACTTCTACCTTCATCCATCTTGTTGACTTTTAGGTCTCTCCTCGGTAAGCTGCGGGTCTGGGGCCACACCCTCCCTCTGCATTTTGCCATTCCCACCTTCTCTTTTTCTCATTTGTCTTCTATGTTGATGATATGTAGGTCTATCACTAGCATTGAGGCCTCTCTCAAGGAGGAAAAGAGATGTTCTTTCCTCAGCGATGTCCACCAGTAGTCTCTACAGATATTCCAAGAACCTACCTACCTCTGAAATTTGCAATTCTGTGATAATGTCCATGTTGTATTCCAGACATGTGCTTGGTGTGAAGACAATCTTGTCCTCTGGTTGTGGGGACTGGGACTGGTCTTCAGATGCTTTCTTGTCCCTGGCCACGCTGGTCTGTTATCCTTGGTCTTGTGGTTCCCATTGGTCTTACACACTTGCAATCCGCCTGCTTTCCAGAATATAGTGGAGGAGTCCTGGATTGCAAACTCACTGTCTTCCAGCAGCTCTCTCTCCAAGATATAATCAAAATGATCCTTTTTAATACATCCTAAAACAGGATTTTTACACCTCTATTTATGAGATGTATTCATGTGTAGTTTTCTCTGTTTTTTCCTTCTTTTCCTTTGGTGCTTGGTTTTGTCTAATTTGGGTATCAGAATACTACTAGCTTCATAGAATAATTTGGGATGTGTTTCCGCCTCTTCTATTTTTTTTATTCTGATGTTGTCTTACTTAAGCACCATGTTTTGTTTGTCTTGTCTTCCATTAACTTAAAATTTTTGCATTTCCTTGAATAGTTTGTTGCTCTGATATGGTACCTGAAGGTCTCAAAAGCCAAGAGGACTTCTCTCTAGGTGCTTCCCTTAAAGGGAATGAATATGGAAAGGGATGGGCCCCAGAAATGAGAACATCAGTTTAGGTGTTTTCATGTGTATTCATATTCAAGCACTTTTAACATCAGGACACCAAGGTGGTAGGAGAGGCACAGCTGGAGCCTTATATGTTTCTAAAAGAAATATAACACTTACAACTCTTTGGAAGATGATGTGGTACTACCTATTAAAGCTGAACACAACTCAGCAATTCTAATAATACAAGAGAAATAAATGTAGATACATGCAATCCACATCTATAAAAGTGTTCACTGCAATGCTATGCACCATACTATACATCTGAAAAATACCTAAATAACCACTGGTGCAAAATTATGATATTTTCATAAAAAGGAATTTTTGCAGAAGTCAGTAAGATGAATTGTAGTAGTATATAACAATGTGGGTGAATATTAGCATGACAATATAAAGTGAAAAAAAGTAGGAGCCAAGTTCTTTGTGTACATTTTTACAAGTATAATTTTAGAACATTAAAATCTTAAAGACAAAAATAAGGATAATTTTACGGTACGTAAGACAATAAAAGTAGGTATAAAATGAATCAAGGGAATAATCACCACCATAGGACTGTGATAGTTACATTTTGTGAAATGCTAAGGAATGGGCTGGAGTGAAATATATAAATATATAAATATACAAATAGATACATGTAAGGGTAAGGAATTAGCTACAGTTTTAAAAAAGCAAGAAACTAAAAAGGCATCTAAATAATTAAATGTAAATTCTCTATATCATGTTGAGAATATCTCCCAAATTAAGGATTGTAAATAAAACTATTTTATGCATCTAGAGCCTGAAGTTTTAAAGGTGGCATGTCTGTTATTAAGGGTAGGGAAAAGAAGTAACAGAAATTTGGGGAAAAGAATGATGTAGCATTATCATACACAAGAGAATGAAAGGTTAGAGGGAAAATGCTGAGAATAGAGGAGAGAAAGAAAATATTCCTAAGGCTACAACAGAAGATGAAATCCACAACACAAGTGGGAACTTCACACTTCTTCAGTGAATAGCAAATTTCGTGAAACAAATGTGTATATGTATTTTTCAGGGGAAAAGCAACGAAGTTATGATTTATGTTTGGTGGCCACTGTTTCTATGTGAAGTAGTAAACCAGGCCCTCTTCTGAGAGTGAGACTCAAGGGGGATGGAGTATAATTTAGGAAAAGATTAACTCTTGAAATAATGGTTGAATTGAGGAAAGACTGAATCAGTAAGCCTTATGTTTTATATCTATGTCCCTACACAAACTTCATGACTTCAATGCTGCAGCGTTTGGATGATGACTGGATCATGGGGGAATGACACTAATTAGTGAACTCACTGATAAGTTGATAGCTATCTGTGATGTTGAAAGGTGGAGTTTCCCAGTCTGAAGAGGCAGGTCACTGTGGGCATGGCCTGGGATAGTCTGTCTTCCTTTCGTATCCCTCCTTGATCCTCACTGCTTCTTGTCCTGCCTTAGAGCCCTTCAACAATGCAATGTACAGTGAACAAAAATAAACTTTTCCTTCTTTGAACTGTGGGTGCCCATACTGTGGTAACATGTCTCCGCAATGAGCAACGTGACTAAGACAGTCAGCATGCTATGGTAAAGGGCTAAACTGTAATGAAAACTTTAAATTTTGAGCAACATTAACCTACGTCTTTGCAGTTTTGTGACTTTTGTCATGTCAGTTTTAATCATTTGTGGGAAGAAGAGGAGATGATCA